GGAATATGGTAACAGGTAGTTTGGCGACATTTTGGTAGGCGATAAAGGTTACTACCTAGGACTTTGGGAATAATGTGAGAAGTATCCAATTCCAATTACGCATTATTTTGGGTGAGAGAAATGAGAGATCATGAGATATATCATGTGACATTTATGGACGAATCAGTTGTTTAATCGGAAAAGGGGGAAATCTGGAAAAAATCTGGAAATTTTGTATTTAGCTCATTCTGTGTTGTGAAACAGTGTGGTTAATTTTTGGATCCCATGGCCTTATCTAAAGTGAAATGGGTATTAGTGAGATTGAAAGGGTAGTAATAAGTGTTTTTTTTAAGGTTGTGCGAGATAGAAGTAAAGATTGCTTATTAAGTTTTATTAAGCAGTATATTCTACCCTGGTACATAATATCTGATTGCTGGAAGTGATATGTCTGTTGGAGGATGAAGGTTTTCAACATCTTGCTGTGAACCATAAGTATGATTTTAAAGATCCTGAAACAGGCGCACATACGATTGCTTTTTATTTAGCGGAGGAAATAAGAAAAGTTTATCCGCCACTAATCAAGATTCAGAAGAAGATTAGGTAAGTTAGTATTTTTAATATTTGAGGATATTATTTTTAGGCATTGTTCTAAATGTAAGGAGTAAATAAATTAATATGGTATTATTGGAAATTGTATTAGCAATGATTTAGTTTAAGTAATTAGGATGTAAGCTATTTTATTAATTTAATGTATGTGCTATTTATATTTAAGTAGTGTTTTTTAATTTAATTATATTTTAATTAATGATAGTTTTTTGTGAATTATATGTTGTAGCATTTGTATATGTTTCAGTGGAAATAAACGTGCATGGCATATGTATATATGTTTGTAGCATTTTGGAATACGTTCAGTAGAAGTAAACGTGCATGGCAATAATTTAAATATTTGACACTAAGTATTTGCAACCATTTTTAATGTTTGCATATGAATTTGTTGGTGACGTTTATAATAGATAATTTAGATAAAAGTTTTGGATATTTTATTTATTTATACGTGCAAATGTTCATCCTGGAAAGGGTATATACTTTTCGCGATCAGGTAATTTCATATAATGCTTTTTACCGGATTTGAAGATTCACAAATTTTCATGATTTTTGTGAATTTTTCTAATTTATGAGAAAAAAGCAGTGTACATCGATATAGTGAAGAGTGGTGCGCAATGCCATTTTGTGCAATTCTGAGATGTTTTTTTAAGTAAAAAAAGGTTGACGTGTACATGGTTTGTTATATTTTAATTAAATGATAGTTATTTTGTGAATTATAGGTTTGTAGCATTTTGGAATATGTTTCAGTAGAAGTAAACGTGCATTGGAAAATAATTAAATATTTGACCTAAGTATTTGTAACCATTTTTTAATGCTTGCGGTATGAATTTTTGGTGACGTTTATAATATAATAGATAATTTAGAGGTAAACGTTTTTGGATATTTTATTTATTTTATACGTGGAAATGTTCATCCTTGGAAAGGGTATACAGTCAAAAGTCGTTAATTCGGAATGATCTATAATCCGGACCTCAAAACTAAAAACTTTCTGCGCATGCGCCGCGTTGACACATGCGCATACGCGTTTACGCGTGCGCATAAGACCTCTTACGACTGCGCATATGAGTGTGCGCAAGTGCAGAATACGTTTTCGCGTGCGCGTTTTATGTATAATGGACGTATAAACTAAAATTATCTAATTATCTATTTCAGTAATGTTGATGATGGCGTTGTTCTAATTTTCGAATTGGATCCGGCTTATTATTTTTGCAGACTGTAGAGCAATTTATAAAAGTAAGCTTAAACTTTCGATTATATGAAATAGAATTTCCGATACATATTTGTTAATATGTAAAGGATCTAAAGCGAAAGTGTTTTGAAATCTGAAATCTGTTTATCATTTCACGCTGCCGGCGGGGGAACGCCGCGGCGGGCGCGTATGAATTGGAAGTTGATCTGTTAGCACTATCCTTATTTCAGCGCAGATGTCATTATTTTATTTGACTTATAATTCCTTACCAAATGTAGATTCATCTCGATATGCTCCGTCTTTGATATGATTTTAAAACAAGTTCTCGTCATTATAATTTGCTTCCGATAGCGAAGAAAAGTGACAGAGGTTATTGAAAACGAAAAAATTTCGATTGACAAATTAGTCGGTGTTCTTGACACAGCAATTATGAACTTGAACAGCGGAACTTTGTAACTGAACAAGAAATTATGTCTATTTAATAGAATTAAAGAAAGTATTATCACATGAAACGAAGCAAAACTTAACAACTTACATTGAAAGAAATGTTTAATAAAGTAAACAAATAAATATTAAGCTTTTTCTTTTTGCAAATTTTGATACCCTTTAGATCATAATTGTTCTTTATTTCATATTATGGTTTCATATTTTTAATTTTAGAATTTTTCTGCATGCCATCTTACGAGATTTAAACTGATTTATAATCCGGAATCGCTGAAGTCCCGACGAGCCCGGATTAACGACTTTTGACTGTATACTTTTTCGCGATCAGGTAATTTCATATATGTGCTTTTTATCGAGTTTAAAGATTCACAAAATTTTCCAGCATTTTCGTGCAAATTTTTGTAATTTATGAGAAAATAGCAGTGTAGATGGATAAAGTTATGAGTGTGTGCAATGCCCTTTTGTGCAATTCTGGATTTTTTTTAAGTAAAAATAAGTCGAGTTACATGGTTATGTGTATGTGCGATTCTGAAAAACACGGCAAGGAGTTGCGATTCTTGCACTTTTTTGCATTTTGCAGTTAATTTGTCATGATTAAGCACTTTTGTTCCATAAAATTTCTAGCATAAGTGTAATTCCGATAGCAGATTGTTGGAAAAATTGTTCAGTAAATAAAAAGAAACGTCTTTACTTCGTGAAGACAAATGGAGGCAAAAAAATAGAGGGTTGCTGTAGCAGAGTTGGTCGCCAAATTTTAGCCAAAAAATCGCCAAGTTACCATAATCCAAAGATTAACCAAACATGGCTTGAAAACGTGAAAATAAAATGGCGTCCAAAACAAAACTAGCAGGTTGCTGTAGCAGGGTTGACTGCCAAATTTTCGCGAAAAAATCGCCAAGTTACCATAATCCAAAGATTAACCCACAAAACAAAAGTAATGTATATCCATAACATAATGCAATTAATATATGAATTGTTATTACTTGTTCATAAGATTACTTATAAAACAACTCAAAACAGTCTTGCTTATTTCAATGTTTCAAAAAATACTTAGTACACAAAATTCTAATTTGAGACTTAATTGAGATGACCTCACTGCACTTTTCACAGTTGAAAATATGGGGATATTTCTGTTACCGTTTATTTTCAATGTAATAAAAAATTAAAATATGCTACTTCTATGCTGTAAACACATTTAAAAAAGCCCAAAAAATGAATTTGAGCGACAGTTTTCCTCTACAACAAAATAAAATTTTTGTTTGAATTCCAAGCAGAATTATGAAATGTAGTTATTTTGCATAATAAAATAGTTACTTTAATCTGGATTAAAATAACATGAAAAATAAGGATTATTGGAGGCTTAGACAACAAGAATCAGCATAACACTCATTAATTTACAGGAATAGTTTTGAACGTTTAACTAAAGAACATTCTTTTTCAGCTACAGTAGTGTAAAGTTACTTTAATATTGTACTTTTTTCGAAATTACATCATCTCATTTTTGCATACAAGTATTATAGTTATAGTAAACTTATGTTTAACAGAAATAAGTATATTTGATAGTGTCTTGTACATATAAAACAAGTGAAACACAATAATGGGAGGTCAAAACATTATTTTCCTATATTTTGTCAATGATAAAACTGAATCTTCAGTTGTGAAGCACCACAGCTGCTCCAAAAGAACACTGAATACCGGTAACTCAACATGGCTCAAATTTCGCGGCATGGTGGTTTCCCGCATGTGTAATGCAACGTAAATAGGGCTGGCACTACAGCAAATGTGGCCTATTAGGCGGTAAAATTTTAGAATCTACGGAGGCGCAGGATAGCAGAATTTAGGAATGACAGAGATTACAGAGGCAAAAAAAAAAAGTCTAGCACCATCCCTGAAAGCGGGTTTTCATCCACAGAGAACCCGTTGGCGCCGTTGCATTTTTACTCGCCAAGCTCTCGTTTCATCGGCGACAAGCCGAGCCACAAACGTGATATTTTGTAAACGTGATTTTTTGTGCATGTAAATTCAAGTTAGCAGACAAAACAATATATTAAGCATATGGTAGTAAAAATTCACAGATAATAAGCATGTAGATGTAAAACTAACTGGTTAAACGTGATATACTAAATAAATTTGTATTAAATTCAAGTTAGCACAGAAGAATATATTAAGTATAGACAATAATAAGCATTTATAACGGAAATAAAAATTCATTTGAAAAATATAAATTAGTATTAATGTACTGAAATTAATCGGTTAAACGTGATAAACGAAAAAAATTTGTCTTAAATTCCAGTTAATACAAAAAACAATACATTTCTTACACCAGCAGTGTTTGCTAATTTTTGATGACCATGGTGATGCATCAAACTATTCTGTCATCTTAGATAATCGATGATATTTTTTATTTCAATTTAATCATCTATTTATGTCACACCAGCCATCCTCTGAAAGGTTATTGTTAAAATTTAAGCCAGAAAATTGATTTATTCTCATTTTAGATGACAATAACCAATAATAAAAATAAAAGCATTACTTAGTTAAATTGCTGGTTCTTAGAGCTGTTAATAATTAAGAACACAACGTGAACAGCCGTGTTACAAATTAGCATTCACCCCTCACGAAGTAGAAGCCAAACTTGTATCACAGACTGAAGTTGGAAAATTGAACAAATAAAAATTATGAAAGGAAAAAAATATACTTCGTCTGTATAACATTACGTTTTTTTTTGGGAGGGGGCAGAAGGAAGATAAGGAAGATAATACTAAAAATTAATTCAATATACCTTCTCTAAAAACATCTACCATATTATATATCAAAGAATCCGAGTAAAAGAAAATTATCAGAAACAGACATGAAATTATTTTCAATCTATTTTCACGGTTTTCAGCCTGATGACGAAAAACTACAACTTAGAAAACCTAATTTTACTTTTTATAATTTTTACTTTTTGACTTAATGTTTCATCTAGAATGTAGCAAAAAGTTTTCAAATATTTCTTAAAATTGTTTATTCCCTATTCATTCATTTTTCCCCTCACTAGCGCTCAATTTAGCATCAACTTCAAAAACTTTCACTGTGGAAGGCAGTTTATCATTTGTTCTTTTTTAACATTTGGACACCAAATCTTTACTTCTTTACGGAACCCTTTTCTTGATGATAATACTAATCTTTGATGATGTGGGGATAAGGGTTCAAGCCTAAGTGCCTTGTGCTTAAGCGCCTTTTACTGATGCACTGAAAGCTTAATTTTTCATGTTGCGTGCAGAAAGACTTAGCAGGCTCAAAGGACTCGTAAGTAAGGAAAGTATGCAGGCGATTGCAAACAAAGAATCTGTAAGAATCGGCCAAAATTAAGGACTTTTAAGGACCAAAAATCGATTCTAAAAAAATTTAAGGATTCTTAAGGGCCGTACAAATCCTGCCAGGATTCGTACACATTTCTGCAAATGGAAATTAAGTACTTTAAGGACCATTAATGAAAAAAATTAAGGACCTATGAGCAAATGGGAACTGAATCTAAATCAATTAAAAATATTTATCTATGGCCTGAACTTCTCTTTTTAATACCATCCTAAAAATAAAAAGAGATCCGTAGGTAGGGAATGCAATTATTATTAAACATAGCTTAATTAACATAATTATTAATATTTTTAAAATAAATACATATTATAAATTTATCTTATTAATGTGCAATGCCGAAGTTTGTTGCAATTCTGGATTTTTTTAAGTGAAAATAGGTCGATGTGTCATGATACTGAGTTTGTGCATATATGATTAGATAAAATAGCGAAGCCACCAATATCAAAGTTTAGATTCATGATATGTCCGTGGCTTCATATTTCTCACAAATCAATGTCAGACAAAAACTTCGGAGTAAGGCGAGATGCTTTGTGTCTCTTCCATTTCATTAGACCTTGACCTTGACCTCTCAGATGTTATTTTTTTCAGATCACTCGAAAATTCTCTGAGTAGTCTGGAATTTACTTCTTTGGAGATTCAAACTGCATGTCGATAACTTCTTTATGAATAAAGGTAACGACTTTCAAAAAAAGGAATTTCCCAGCTGCCTTAGGGATGGCAAAAAGTCATAGAATAAAATGGATTTATGTGGATTAATTAAAGTGTCTTACTTTTTTTATATTGCTTTATTTGTATCTTTCATAAAAAAAAAGTGCAGAAACTTTCGGATGACTCAATATAATGAAGTTTAAATCCTATTGAGAGAAATATGTTACTAATTTATGAACAAAATGTAGTGAATTTCATATTATCAATAAACTTCATTACAACTGAATCAACATAATAATTGACTTGAATAAAAGACTAAATAAAACTGAAATGATACAAAATGTATAATTATATGACTGTATCATAAATGTGAATAAATAATGCAACTTTTAAAATTCACATTATTTATTCCCATTTATCCTTAAATGTAATTTTAAAATTAATTAAAATTAAATGTAATTTAATTTCTGAGTAAGTTCTTAAATGTTATTTAAAAAAAAATTAAAGGTTCAGTAAATAGATTAGAGATTTCTGTAAGACAGATAACATAATTCGTTTCATAAGTTATCATGTAACATTAATATATTGCGAATTCAGCAAATACTTCACATTCACTCAAGGAGCAGTACCTATTTTTGAGGGCACAACAAGACATGGGAAAAAATGGGTACCATGCTAGATGTTAGAAGCACAGTGGGAAAATGTTTGTTTTGCCCTGCTATTTGATTTCCAGTGCAACTTTGAATATGATTGTTGTTTCATGCCGCAATATTCACATTGCAATTTTGGACAACATCACATCAAGTCACAGAAAATATTTAAGCCAATGAGGCACAGTATATTGTTTCATTACTATGATACAAGGTCTTATGTGGCATGGTCAGATTAAAAGAGACTTGTGAAATCCAAATGGCTTCAATAGGTGACATATAGCTCCAACTTAATTCCAAGAGCTTTTAATTTGTTTGGTCCCTCGAAACTCACTTTGCAGAAAATTCATTTAATGGATGATGCAACAGGTGAGGTCAAAAAAATAATAAACTTCAAATTGTTGGTAAAACGCAAATAAAATGTCACTTACCTTCTTTCAAATATGTCCAATTATTATAAGT